TAAATTCTACTTCTACTTTATACTTCTAACGTCTCTGTCTAAAGTCCGTATTTGTATTTACTATATACTTTTTCTTAATGGGTGTAAATAGTCTTGTCTATCGTTCGGTTTACACACCTCCCCGGTCTTTTGAACAGGAGTAGACATGTGTTCCTTGTTTCCTATTTAAGACTAGGTTTCGAGTTCCTTATAAAGTCTTTTCGTTCTCTTTCACTCTCAGTAGCCCCTTGCATCTTAGTGGCATTTCACCTTGCTTGAAGTGAAATGATTAAAAAAAAATATATGCACGATTCTATTACCGTTTACTGTCTGAGATATTAAACATTTTATTGCAGGTGTCATCTATTTTTCCTTCCCTGTCAAAACTAAGAAAAATGCAGAAATTTTTTCCTACCTCTTCCTAATTGTTCTTGTAAAATGCAATATAATTTTTTCCTTTTTCTATTTCCTCCAAAACATATTCATACAAGAGATTCAGTAACGTGAGATTCGCGTCTGTACTAATTTCACTGTCTCTTTTAGCCTCCACTTGGCTGTACTGAGGCCACTTTAGCAACGATCGATTTTCTTCTTCATAATTCATACTCCTATTTCCAAAAGTACATTTCTATAATCTTTTTTCATCGTCTCCTTTAATATAATTCTCTCTCTTTCTCTTTCGATATTTTCTTTCTTTTACAGTCTCTTTCCTTTCTTTATTTTTTTCTCAATATTTCAAACATTTTTCTTTCTTTCTTTCGCGGTCTTTTTCGTTGTTTTACTTTTTCTCAATCTACAAAATTCTTTCTTTTTCTTTCTTTCTTTCTTTCTTTCTTTCTCCTTGCTTTAATTTTTCTCAATGTTTTAAATATTTTCTTTCTTTCTCTTATTTTTTCTTTCTTTTAAATTTTATTTTTTCTTTATCGTCCTCTGTTTACTTCTTGTTTGTTTTCTCTTTCTCAGCTCTTTTTCTTCGTAATGTTAATTTAAAGAATTTTTTTTCTCATGAACTTTTCTCCTCTTCTCTTTCTTTCTTCATAATTTTCTTCACTGTTTTCGCCTTTTATCGTTTTATTGATTTTTCTCCCTTTTCTTCTCATCATTTTTTCTTTTGCCTCTTCTTTTTCCCACTCCATTTGTTGTCTTCTTTTTTTCCTATCTTCATTTCTTCTTTTCCCTTCATTTTTTATTAACTTCTTTGTTGTTTCTTCTTCGTCTTCTTTTTCCCTATTCATAATTTTTGTCGTCATTTTCCTCTCTTCCTTTCTTTTTCTTTTCTTCTCTTCCTTCTTCCTTTTTGTTTTCTTCTTTCCACTCTACATTTCTTGTTCTTTCCTCTTTTTCATTTTTCTTCGTTGTTTTCTTCTTTGCACCTCTTTAATTTTTTTCCTTTTTTGTCTTCTTTTTCCACTTCTTTATTTCTGCTTCATTTTTCTTTTCTCCACTTAATTTTTCTTCTTCGGTTTTTTCTTCTTCTCCGCCATTCATCTTTTTATCCCCACTTCATTTTCTCTCCTTCTAGTTCCTTGTGCTTTCATCTTTTTCTACTCTTCTGATTTCCTTCGTATATTTTTCATTTCATTTCTTTAGCGTCTTTCGTTTCCTTCCTGTCCATCGTCTCACTTTTATTACTTATATTCTCTTCAAGTTCATTTTACCTATTCACCATGTTTTTAACGAAGCCACACATTCTTTTGTCATTTTGAATACATTTTATTGTTCGTATTTTCTCTACATTTGATTCACTTTATCTACTGTCTTTTTTTTATTATCTAATTTATCACCATCCGCTTCTTTACAGTATCCTTGTAATTGTCGTCTGTTTTCAAAATCGACGTCTTCCCACTTACCCTCTCAGTTCCTTCCCGTTCTTCTTTTACTCCTGCATTACCCAAGTTTCTCTTTTCATCTACTGACGACAAACGCACTTCTGGGCCGGCGCCATCAGTATTTGCCAATTCCGCAGAATAATCCACTCTTCTGTATTGCTTTTAGCATTTCCATCCTCCTTGCCCACTTCACTTTCGAATGAAGAGAATTCCTGTCCAGCTGCTACACGAAGAGAGAAACCAATGACCACCTGGTCAATGGCAACTGGTAAACTACATATAAACAGGTCAACATGTCCAAAAGGATGGGCTATGGTAAACAAGTGGTGTTTACATGGCGAGCATTTACAAAGACTCTTGATTTAAAAAAAAAAATCCAACTTAATTGGGAGTGCCTTCCGCATCACATCTGGAGAAGATCGTAATTGTAGTACTGTGAAAATCTGAAACAGCACCACTTTAATAAACGCTAATGCTTCATGTCAGACATTTATACATCTTAAAACTATTATTATGATGTGAGTAACAAGATAAATAAAATGAAGTAAATACTAGTTAAAAAGGAATAATAATGTTTCATCTCTGAAATTCTTTAAGACTCTTGCTATTAGATGTAAAGCAGAAGAAATGGATTGGAAGAAATACGAGTCAAAAAGGAATAATAATTGCTAATGCAATACCAAATAGAAAATCAGATAACATAAGACGAAAGAAATACTAGTCAAATAATAATAATAATAATAAACAATACTTCGGCGAAGACATTCATACAACTTAAGATTATTACTTCTTGCTGTAAAAACAAGTGAGATAAAACAAAAGAGAAACTAGTGAAAAATTAATAATAATTGCCAATACTTCATTTAAGAAATTCAGATAGCTTAAGTCTATTACTACTTGGTGTAAAAGCAAACGTAATATGATGAAAAAATACTAGTAAAAATTAATAATAATTGACATTGTTCCCGTGGTGATAGAAGTTATTTGTTTATTTATTTTTTCTTACATCTTGGCTGTGTAAGCTTTCTGATTGGTTGATCGAACTGTGACTTTGTTTGCTTGGTGATGTTTATTATCCGTCGAATTTTAGAGATAGTGACTTTTCGTCATATTTATTTATCTCTCTATCACCACAGGAGCATTGTTAGTTATTATTAATATTATTAGTATTTATTTAATTTTATTTCTTGATTTTCATTGTTCTTAAGTTTCCTGAATTTATATCCCGGTCAATGAGACCGAAATCTCACTATTTCTAAAAATAAATATATATAGAAACTTTTAGAAATAGGATATAATGCCGTGAGTCAATGTGAAATGAGTGGCTTTTTCCAAAGTGGATCTATAGATGTTTATATAAAGAGATGGAAAATTATCCAAAACTAGAGTCGATAAATTAATTTTGTCCATTCTCCTATGCTGCGTCTAAGGTAACATACTCAGAGACGAAATACGATATTGGCATGACTAGCTGCCGGCCTTACACGGCTAAACCGTCCTTGCTATATATGAAAACAGATATACCTTCCTTCGCCAAGTGGTCAAACGGCGACTACTATATTTGGATACAAAAAAAAAGGAAAAAAAAAAATACGCATATATATATACATTTACTTCTTCCTGGCTCTTTCTCTCTTATGCGCCAGGACTTTTGCTTTGGAAACTTAAACTTTCACTTTATCCTTCTCTATTTATATATTGTGTATATAAAGATTTATTTTGTATTTATCAACGCTGGATGCATTTTCTTTTAATTATACAATTAATACACACCTAAATCAATTATACCGATATATAGATGGAACAAACGTTGTCGTAAGATAAACATGTCTTCCATGACTGATAACCTTCTAACTCAAATACCCAATCTAAGAAATTCATACAATCTAAGTCTGTTATTATTGTTTGAAAAAGTAAGAGAAATAAATGAAATACGATTCAAAAATTAGTAATAATTCCCAATGTTTCATATAAGAAATTCAAACACCTTTACTACTAGATAAATATGATGAAAGGAGAGGAAGTCAAAAATTTAAAATTAGTAAGAATATTTTATATAACAATTTCATACTATATAAAACTATTATTAGTAGTTATAATGAAGATGTCAAGATATTACTATAAAGTAAATAATAAATGACTATAGTCTGTTTAAAAATCTACACAACATTAAATTCATCTGTGTATCACTAAAAATGAGTCAGATATGGCGTGCAAGTAAAATGAAAAAAAAAAGGTAAAATGCAAGTATAGGGATTAACTGTATGGAAGCTGACTGACTGATATTTTTAGAAAGATAAATCCGCAATGTTATTGACGCTCTCCTTGCATCTCGGCTTCAGTTACTTTCCCACCGATCTAATAGCGCTTCCCTGTGCCTTTGCTATAAATACTTTTATTATAATTGTTCTGATGTATTTCTGGTTCTTTTTTCAGCTGTTAATTTTATTCCCCCCCACCACAGACAAATACTTAAGACTTTATAGAGTGTTTGAGGTATTATGGTGCATGTAGTAAGTAAGAATGTGTTGTTTTGTTGTAAGGCATACTGTGCTGTTGTTGTGGAAAATTGCATGAGATATATATATATATATATATATATATATATATATATATATATATTGGGTTGGGGAATAAGTTGTCAGCGTTTTTCAAAATGTTTTATTGTCATAGTCTTACAATATTAAGTTACATAAATTTAGTTAACAATATAATCTCCGTTGCTGTTGATAATTTTTTCCATCGGTCACAAAGTCTTTCACTTCCTTGACGATAAAAATCTGGTTTTGAACAGAAAAATTCGTCCAACAAAACCCTCAAGTCAAAATCGGTATTGAACGTTGCACCACGTAAGGCATTGAAAACAGATCGAGAAAGATAAAAATCTACTGATGCCAAGAAGAATACTCTGTCGTCGATTCGGTCTATTTTGCTGAATTGCTTCACGAAGATGGTGTAGTTGTTGAACGTAGAACACGGCAATTAACCGTTTGGTTTCGCTCAAGCAATTTATAATGAACTATTCTTTCCAAGTCCCACCATACAGACAACATGGTGTTATGAGGATGAAGGTCTTGTTTTGTTCTAAGTGTCAATTGCTTATTGAGACTGAGCCGTTCTTTACGCTGCTTCATATTGAGGTAAAGACACCATTTTTCATTGGAAACGCTGTTAAAGACCATATGTTGAGCGATGCCAAACTTGCTGGTTCGGCATCTCTCTACTGGCTGCATTTCTTGCACGCTGATTCTTGTTGTGGCCATTCAACGCGTGTGGTACCCATGAACCAAGTTTCTGAACCTACCTCATTGAATGAAGGTAATTTGCCAGTATTGTGATATCAATTCATCTGTTTCGTCAATTCTCTGGTTGTCTGACATGGATTTTCCTGAAGAAACGAGTTTAATCGCTTCCCCTTAAACTCAGCTGGTCGACCGGGGTTCTACTCCTCCTCCAGCTCAAAATTTCCTTTTTTGAAGCTCGAAAACCAACGTCGGGCTGTACTTTGAGGCATTGCGCCATCTCCATACAGGTGACAAAACTCACAAGCTGTTTTGGCGGCTTAAAATCCTAGATTATATGCAAAAAGCAAAAGGTGTCGAAAATGAGCAGTTTTGTTTAATTGAAATATTATTTTTGGTTCTCTGAAATAGAACAAAAAAATCAAGAAATTAACAAAAATCAGACATATATTTAAATGTTATAAGAACAATATGAAATATGTTGGTCTAAAACATTCGCCAATTCGCCAGATGTTTGGCTTCCCAAAGATTTTTTGCTCTCCCAAAAAAGCTCATGACTTATTCTCCAACCCAATATATATATATATATATATATATATATATATATATATATATATATATGGTATGATGAGTAAATTGTCGCCATTTTATTTTTTTAATTTCGCTCCGCATTCGCGACGGAAGTTCTATTACGAACATTTCAATGTTTGGGTGTCAACCTTAGGACAGAGCAGAGGATTCGGAAGAAGGTGGATGGTACGGCACTCTGATCGTTCTAATAAGAAATAAACTTCCAAATTTGTTGATGAGGGCCTCAGACTCAACAAGGGGGCGTACATCAAGTGCCTTGAGGAAGTAGTACTGGCCTGAATCAATAGAAGACCAAGAAGAATGGTCACAGGACACTGCATCATAACACACAAGCAGGAAAACAATATATTTCATTTATTAATCCGTCATATTTAATTTATATCGCACTAATCCACTGTTATTTTAAAGATACTCATTCTTGAGTTGACACCTTGTTTTTTTTAAAAGCCTGATTTAGGTCTACTTGCGTACTTGCAGTGCACACACACGCACCCGCACCCACATATATATATATATATATATATATATATATATATATATATATATATATATATATATATATATATATAGTGGAGTAGCGGCTTGACTGAATTCTAGTCAAATGCATTACATTCACTTACGTGCTAATACACGTGGGAAAAATTATGAATCCACATCTTTTTCCTTCCAGCTCTGGGTAAATAGCAGGACAGACTGGATTCTATAGCCTTGGATGGCAACTGGTCTAGAAGAAGGACAATTCTGAATTCAAAACCTTCGGAGAGGCATTTGGGGACCTTGTGACACGTAGTGCAACAGGTCTGTTTTCAGCCCTTCAAAAAGTGTGATTGGTTCTGCACAAAGCCTTCACCTCTATAATCAAATCATATGTGCTGGTGTCTGACTGTCGGTTCCTAGGAACTGAGTTGCTGACCCTCATACGTTGAATACGACGGGAGAGTTCACTATATATATATATATATATATATATATATATATATATAATAAAAAATATCTAACCAGATTTAGAACGAATATACGAAGCACTAAGCAATGATAAAATTATAAATATGTAAGAAGAATTGTCTAAAGAGAATTGCTAGCATCAAACAGTTGATTCAATATAATCTTTACATTTCACGTCTGTGCAAAAAGCGAGATCAAGACGGTGCTGATAGTTGCTACCCCCGAGTTCAGCATCAGCCATAATAATAGTAAGATTATTATATATCGAAATTGGTGGAATATAACGTATTTATTAGAATCACCTGCTCTGTTCCATTAGGATTTACTGAAGCATTAACAAATCCTGTACTTCATATTTATGTCAGTCGACTTGTCTTCAGTGACTCTTACACATTACGTTACAACAACGATTCCCTTTAGATAAAAGACGTTAAACAACGTCGAACCTGGTCAGTACCAAGATGGGTGACTGCTATGGAATGTGCGGGTGACGTAATGGATAATGGTTCGAAATTGTTAATTGGAGTGCTGTGTTCCAATTCCAGTTGAAGTCGTTAGGTGCAAATACCCCTGAGAAAAATACTCCTGACAGCTATGGGTTAATTAGTAAGACTTGTATCACTAAATCATTATTATCTCAAAAAAATTGTCACAATCTAAAAATAACTTCTGGATTTAAAATACCTGCAAAGTGTTGATAAAGCCACCGAATTAATTGATTGATTCGTTTCCTACGGTTTATCAATTTTTTTTTAAGATTGTAAGAAATTATTTTGGAGGTATTAAGGATTTACTGATACAATTCCTACTAATTAATCCATACTTTATTTCATCCACCGGGGTAGATTATTCTAATTCCACATGTCTCTTCTGGATGTCTTCAACTCAACTCTGGGTCAAGTCATTAGATTCAATCAACGATGATTCCTTAAGTTTCCGTATTTTCCAGTGATGTTTTCTGTCTATTTCTATCTATTTCTCCATTTTCACTCCATATGTGGTCAGCTACGACTGACTTTTCTATTTCCCCTTCATACAGTCTTATCTTAAGGGGGCGGCCTCATTAGCTGTTGCGGACCCAGAATAAGTCCGAAAGAAAACTCGAACTCAGCAATTTACTGAAAACATATTATTAAACAAAAAGAACGAATACAAATGTGTTGCAAGTCCGACTGACGGCAAAGTACAATAGTCAACTCGTCAACTGTACACAGCGATGTTTAGTTACCCCCCCACGAGGGTTACATCTGGCACAAGGCCAGTTTAACGTGGGATCTCCGAGTCCGTAAGCTCGGCCAAAAAATAATCCCTCTTTGAACCCGCATAAACGGGTTCAGGGGCAGTGAACCTCCCCGAACGAGACTCTGACCTTCGGCGGAGCCTCGTCCGGGTTCCTCTCCGCCCGAAGGCAGAGAGTTCGACTGTTTAGCTGGAACAGGTCAACTCTGGACAGCAATATTTAACAGTCCTCCCATGAGGAATGTATGTGGCACAAGGCCGAGTTTAACGTGGGTTTCTGCGAGCCCGTAGGCTCGGCCAAAAATATACCATTTGAACCCCCCTAGACGGGTTCAGGGCCTGTCTACCTCCCCGGACGAATCTTTGCCCTTCGGCAAAGCTTCGTCCGGGTTCCTCTCTGCCGAAGCAGAGAGTTCGACAGAAGTCGTCCACAATCAGAAACTTCGGGTCAACTGTAGACAGCTCTCTTGAGAGGCATAATCTCCCCGTATATATAGTAATAGGACGAATCCATTTAGTCCATAAAGGTAGGTCCCATAACATTATCCTATATATTTCTTAACACAGATGCATGGGATAGCGTACACAGTCTTTAGTCATGTACTTCTCTATAGGATGTACTTGGAAGGGGTGTCTGCGACGGATAGAACCGCTTTTAGAGGTCGTCCTGATGTTACATATCCCAAAGAACTTCTGTATTTTTTCCGAGAATCCCTTCACATAGGGCAGACCGAGGCTGTTTTTTGTGTATTATCCTCATCATGCATCCTTCTATCCCAATTTGTCTAAGCTACTGTCATGTACCCAGGGTAGTTGTTACGTTGAAGGGTACTGTTAATACTGACCATTTCTTGTTCATATGTCTGTGTCGCCACTTATGACTTTTGCTCGATGTTGTAAAACAGCGGACGATCCCTTTCTTTACACCGTTGAAGTTGAGGTATTGTCCAGTGAATGTTGTCTTGCGGTATACGGATGTCTTGAACCTAAGCTCTATTCGAGATATTAGTACATCCAGGAATGCTAGTTTGTTTTTGTTTTCGATGTAAATAGTGTAAATAATTACAATCCCTCATCTCAGATATATAGACGGAGGAATTTGTTTATTTCCTTGTTATTAGAATATGTAAAGCGCTTTGGAGTTGTTTATCAATTGCAAAGAATAAAATATAACATTTCCCTGGATGTTCGGAGTAACATTTTGTAGATATTTTCTTCTTTTTATTTACTTGTCATGAGATCTTTTAAAGTATAAGGAGCCAAGGAATTTTAAAAAAAATCTGAAAGATTAATTACTTTTTATAGTCACGTTAAGATGAAGAAAAGCGCGTGTATGAAAATTTTGATTGTTTTTGTCACCTTTCAAATAACATTTTGAGCATTTAATAATATTTTTTTCATAAGTGGAGATGCTTAAAAATATCGCACATCGTTTTTTTTTTTTTTTTTTTTGACAGGATCTCTTTTTCTATCTTTTGAATAGCTTTCTCGTCTTTATATTTTGTTCTTTCTCTAATTCACTTTCTTCTTTTTTCCTTTTAGGCTTTCGTTTCGTTTTCCTTTTCACGTTTTCCTTTCAGGTTTTCTTTTCGTTTTCATTACTTACTGGAATTAACGTATTTCTCTTTTTTGGATTGACTTCATATCTTTCTCCTTTTTAAAAAGATTGTTTTGTTTATTTATTATTAACATATGAGCAATGACGAAGTTTTAGAGAAAATGGAAAACTAATACTTAACATCAGGAAGAGACAGTTGCGGTTTCTGAGGCACATAATGAGGAAGGAAGGTTTAGTAAATCTGATACTCACAGGACATATAGAAGTCAAGAGGGTCAGAGAAAAACAACGCGTGACATGCTTAGTGAGCTTGAGTAATTGGATGGCGAAACTGGGCGTAGAAGAAATAACAACAAGATAAAGTTTGTTAAGAGCTACAAGGTACAGGAAGTTGGATACTATTGCATTCACAGAATCCATTTGAAGAACATGTGAACAACGACAAACATGTGAACAACAACGAAGTTTTAGAGAAAATGGAAACAAAAAGGACACCTATACTTAGTATCAAGAAGCGACTGTTGAAATTTGTAAGGAGCATAATGAGGTAGGCGGGTTTAGAAAATTAGATACTCACTCACAGGACAGATTGAAGACAAGAGAGCTAGATGGAAAACGGTTATTTTAAACAAAATTAGTGGCAGAATGTGGCTTAGAAGAAATAACAGAAAGACAAAGATTATTGAGAGCTACCAGAGTTATGGAGGGTCATAATCGCCTACGTCCTGAGGAGACACAACACATAAAGAAGATACTATAAACGTCCAATATTTGAGCCGAGATGAAAGTCAAGATTTCAACCTGTTATTTTCATGTAGTTTTTAACGTCCGGCAAAGAAATTAAACCCTCCTCTGAACGCTGAAAAAAGTTCAGCCGCTGAATTTAACAAAAGATTAAAAATGGAAGGAAAAGATAAAAACTTACAATGCAATATATTTTCCTGCTTAGTAATGCTGAATTGCCTGATTATATTTCTGATATGAAGTATTATAACTATTTACACTATTTACAATTATTGTTCCCTCTGTTGTCCTCATCTTTATTGCCATATTCACAACGTTTCGGCCGTTATACGCTCTGGACTTCTTCTGGTGAAATTAATTGAAATTTCACCAAGGACACATGATCCAGTGGATACAAATGTTAGTTGGGAGATCATAAAAAGTGACTAGACTCAAAGAATTGTGAATTGGCCACAGCAGAGGGAACAGAAACTGGGAGAGTTACTAAGTGGAATTAATTGAAACAGAGATATCCAAAGGAAATGGCACATGAAATTAGAACATTCTACGCCCATAAAGAAGGCCGAAGTGTACAACGGCCGAAACGTCGTTAATATGGCAATAAAGATGACGTCAACAGCTGGAACAATGTAAATAGTGTAAATAACGCTGATTTGTGTTAAAACGGGTTTCCCTTAGATTTAGACTCGCTTTAGACTTAGGAAGTAAGTAACTAGTATAATATTTATATCTTGTCAGCCTTTGCACGTTTCAGTTGACGCTCGTACATACTGTATTCCTTCAGGACGTGGGCGATTTTGGATCTTCACAACTTCCTATCCTATGTAGTTTTTAATAACTTCGTCTTTTTTACTATCAATTTCACTTCCTTTTCTGCCATCCATTTGCATAAGGTCGTACCTTCAATATGTCTACGAATATAATATTCTCCAAGCATTCTTTTTTCGTTATTTAAACTCACGCTTTCTGATTTTAAATACAAAATTGCATTGTTTCCATTTTTACTTTAAACTTCGTTGCTCACATATTCCGTTCATCATATTCTCAATATCCTTCTGTGGAACCACACATTCGTTAGCTCAAGTTTCAATCTGTTACTAATTTCGCAAGCATTCATTGCCATATAAGAAGCCTGATATGACATGGGTGTTTAGCATTTTTGTTTGTAAAAGAATTTTCTTGTTCCTTAATACTTTGCTTAATTTTCGGAGTGCATATTTCGCTATTCCAATGTGTTTTCAGATTTTTCCGACGCATTTTCTCATTGTCTCTTATTACACTGATAATTCAATTTTCCTACTTGTTTGATTTTGACGTCTCCGATATGTAACACACTTCTTGGGCTGTCCCTTTTGCTAACGATCAAGCATACTTTTTCCTTACGACAGATTGTTAGTCATTTCTTCTTGTGTGACAACTCTGGACGCTAATCTGTTTATGATAGTTTTTGTATGCTGTAGATTAAGTGCAGAATAATAATTGGTAACTGGGAGTAAATATACATTAATTCACCCCTTAGAGACTGGTATATTGAATTGATTCCACCAGTAAACGCTGTTTTTTGAAATATAACATTTTAAAAATCATTTAACACCAAGCAAGGCAATAATGCCAGTAAGATTCAAGGGGTTGCCGAGTATAAGAGAATGAGAGAAAGAAAAACGCTACTAAGGGGAGAGAACAATATTAAAAACAAAACTGATGGCATAGAAATTACGGTTAAATCTAGCCATTCCAAAATGATGAGACCTTGCCGCCAATCTAGTACTGCGTTTGAATAAAGATTCTTTACATATTCTCCATACACTGAAAAAATCCCTCTGAAAATATTTGGTATAATTCATAAAATTTTGCAAATGGGCTTTTTTTTAAAAATCATTTCACCTAAAGCAAGGCAAGAAAGCCACTAAGACGCTGAATTTGAGAAAAGATGAGAAAAAACACTATTAAGAAAGAAGAACAGGAATTATGAAGACAAGGTAAGGATTGACATTTTATTTGAATTTTTGAAGATCAAAATAAACTGGGAAGCAACATGCCGAAAAACAATTCCACTAGCGAGAAGAAACTTTCAGCATAGAACTCACGGTTACATCTAGACATTTAAACTGTAAAATGAGACCTTGCAGTCAATCTAGTACCGCGCTAGGTACCATGGAAGAAAGTTCATCAGAACAATTACAGGGAAAGTATAGAAAAAACACAGTGAAGATACGTTATGGAAGTGGGAAAGTAACTGAAGCCGAGCTGCCAGGTCAGGACGTATAAATTTGCGGATTCTTCTTTAGGTTTTTATCAAGAATCTCTAAATATATAACAGGAGCATTAGGCCAGATGTGATAACAATATGCAAAGTATGGTCGGATGATAGACTTATAAATGTGTAAGATAGATTATGGCGAGTAAAATTGTCATGTTATATCGGAATTTGTTTGTACGGATTCCTATCTTGAAAGTTTTTAACAACGCACATCCTCTGCCTGGCTCGTGGGACTAGTTGATCAACTGATTCGAGAACTATGCCAAGAGTAATCAGGCCCAGAAGCTTAGTGTTTGTTCAGCTGTCTTTTTATTCTGAAGAAATCTGCAATATTTTATTTTCTGTTTCTTCTTTTTCGTAAGAAAGGACAAATTACAAGAAAAGATGGAGAAAAAGCCATAAGGTGTTGAGATAATTAATTTGTGTATAGTCGGCTGCTCTTTTTTATTTTCTTAGAAGAGTTATTTTGTTTTTTTTTTCTTGATTTGGTCTAAATTTTTTTTTCTCCTGTTTGAATTTTGCAAAACGGAAATGAATTGCTAAATAAATAAAACCAAAAAATAGATTAAAGTAAAATAAAAGTAGAAATGAAATATTTCAGCGTCTGGAAGTATTTTATTGCGAATTTATTATGATAAAAGGCAAATAAAGTGAAGGACAAGATAGAAGATGTAGACAGGAAAAAGGAAAAGCTTACAGGAAGAGATTTCAGATATAAATAATGACGAAGTCTTGAGAATAAAACGCACACGTACATATACATGCGAACATATATATATAAGAATGGATCAAAATGTCCACAACATGTAGATATTAGCAGAATTTTGATCTATATATGTCAAAATACGACGTCTGACCAAAAAGTCTTGGAACTGATGATATAAATATAAAACTACATCGCATATCAATTCGGTATTTAAACTCCTTCGAAGTAGTCCGCTTCTGAAGTCTCACATTTTATCCGGCTTCATTTCTATTGATGCAAGCATCCCTAGGGCTACTCTTTTGGAGATAGCAAGCAGCTACCTCGTAGCATTATCTTGGATTTTCTCGATGTCTTGAAATACAGTTCCTTTGAAAGTGGGATTTAAATTTTGAAAAGGAAAATGTCGCATGGAACGTGATTTGGGGAATAAAGTGCTTGTCGGACTTGGGGATTCTTGGCCCAAAATTGCTGGACATATTCATAGCACTCCGTATATATGTGAACTACCACTTATACTGAAAATTAAATGCTGAATTGATTATTTTTATTGTATTTTTTTTTTTTTTTACGATTTGGACCTCATTTTCGGTAACTGGGGTCCATGTTTAGAAAAAAAAATGATTTAAATTCTTCAAAACTTTCTGTCTTATAACTTAAAAATTAAGCCATACAAAAATGTATTTGTCGAAATTTCATAAAATTACATAAGGTGTGTGCGGGTAACAGTTGTAAAAATAAGTATTTTTACCAAGATTTTCTAAAAAAAAGTAATGTTTTTAAAATAATTTCATTTGTGGGTTAAATACTCTTAATGAGCGAATGTTTCAAATATGTTTGCAAAGTTATTTGCTTATTGATTCTCCTTAAAAGATACTTCACGTTTGAGGTTCATTGAAATATTACTGAGAACAATTAAAAATTATACCTCGCAAGAAATAGTCAGTTGACTTAAAATATCAAAATCAAATAGAAATATTTTGGATAACCCTGGCTAGTTTTGTCGCTTTGGTGTGTGACTTCCACATGTTAATATCCTGTTTTTTTTAGGTAAATTGTGACAAGCGATAAAAAGTGGGTACTATATAACAATGTTTATTTATTTATATCGAAAACGCGGAGTAAAAAAAAAAAAGAAAAGCTCGACTAACCGTATCAAAGACCAGAGTTCACTCAAATAATGTGATGAAGAGTATTAGAAGATATTCAGCTGCAGTTAAATTCTCATAGAAAATCAAGCGATTGATTCAAACGAGTACCAATGAAGCAATGAAGAAAACGTACCGATATTATGTAACAACTCAAATGACGTCATATTCAATCAGAAAACAAAACAAACAAAAAAACAAAC